TCTCAAAAATAAATAAATAATTGTCTTAGGCAATAAGAGTCAAAACCCGGTAACTCAAACTAAAACTCTTCTGATTGCTACATCTGCAAATGGGACAATCTGCTGAAGGAGCTCCAGTTCACTAATGGTACTACTCACAAAATCATTATACAGAGAAGGAGCCAGCAAGATAAAAACTTCACAAGCATCATAATCTCCATGGAGAAACATAAGTCTCCTCTCAAACTTGACTGGGTACATAATTAGCTAAAAAAAGATACCACTGCCTCAAATCATTCACAAATTTATATAAATATGCAAAATCACAACCAGTAAAATCTTGTTCTTGAACTCCAATTGTCTTTTTCCAATGTAAATATTTTATTGAAAACCGTCAAAAAAAAAAAAGTTTTTCTTTATATTAAGATGAAATTTATATTACAAAAATAAACACAAATGAATTCCCAAAAAAGGGCTATATTTAATGAAGAACAATTTTGATCTCATGAATTTTAGCAGATCGTGGCTAAAAAGATAAGTCAAGTCTTCTTATTTTTTAAAGTGTCTTCAAGTTTTTTTCTTCATCGACATTCATGCCTCTTTATGGCTATGAACACAAAAATATATTTGCAAAAAATGTTTCTTGATAAAATTCTCACTGATCCTTTGAAATTCATATTGTTTCTCTTACAAAAATAATATGGCCTATCAATTTCAGACTCATTAAAGCATTTTGAAATTGTGATAGAAACTAGTATAGAAACATTAGATGTTTCCTTCTCAAAAAGGGGAGAAATTGTCCTCCATTTAGTTGCCAAAATTTATGTGAACATTAAAAAAAACACATTCTTTTGCTATGTATTTTTTCTTAAAGCAAATGACACTCTGAGTAACAAAGCTTGACTGTAAGTCCAAAGATTTTGAACATTGCATTCTAGAACACTCTCAGAACTACATTATTGGAATCAAAGATGGCAGTTTGCTGTCAAAGTTAGCTTGAGTTGTACAGTCAATAAGAAAATGAAAACAAAAAGTGTATTAAATATATCTAAGAGCTAAATTATTAACAAACCCTTGGAATACAGAGAAAATCAGGAAAGAATTAGGAAGGAAATCTCAGTTATTCTTAACTAAATGATATTGAAGTTTCTACATGCCAAATTTTGTTGTATATTTAAACAGAAGGAAATTTAAACAGTTAGGTTTGCACATTTTTCAGATTAATTAATTGTCAACTCAAGAAGATAGACAAAGAATAATGGTTAAAAGGCTAAAGAAATAAGAAAGAAAAAATGTTAATGTAAGGGCTAGAAATTTGAAATGAATAATAATGTTACAAGCTTTGCTATCTCTCCCTCTCCCCAGATGTAGGTGATGGGGAGGAAGGCAGCAAATCACACTGCCACTTGTGTGCCTATGCAACAATCTTGCATGTTCTTCACATGTACACCAAAACCTAAAATGCAATAAAATAAATGGGGAAAAATATTTCAAAAATAAAAAACAAACAAACAAGAAAAAAACAAGCTTTGAACATACTGAAACTTTATGCAAGAATAATGAAGAAAAATTAAATTCAAATTTAATATCAAAAATAGCAAATATTTTCTATTTAGCATAGATAAAAATTGAAATAACTATTTTGAGTAATTTTATGTTGAAAAATTTGAAATATGACTAAATAAATGGTGGTATTTTTGCACAAATACAGAAATACCAATGTTTGTAAAAGAAAATCATATTCTGATTCAACAGATAACTGTTAAAGAAATGGAATTAATAAACAACAACAACTAAAAACAAACATGAGGTCTAAGTGACTTTCCAATAGTATCAACAATTCAATGAATTGGAAATACTACCCACATTTTAAAAAAATCATTTTAGAAAATACAAAAATAAAGGAAGAAGCTTAACCCATGCTATAAGGTCAATTATAATCTTGTTGCCCAAACAAGATACGACTTTAAAAAAAAAGTCACTTGTGCTTATGAACACAGATGCAAAAATACAAAAATTTAGCAATAATGAGTATTGGAAATAGATCATGATGTGATTCAAGAGTAAGTTTGTTGAAGTATAGTTGCATTTGATCCTAGGTTTAAATTTAACTAATTGAACAATCTCTCAATTCCATATAGACTCCAGAATTTACAGATTGAAAAATATTACTGGAAGAGTCTCTTTTCATTGGAAAAATATTAACTTTTAATAAGCATAATTTGACTATTGCAGTGGTTTCTTCCTTTGAGACCAATGCTTAATGGTTTTTAGAAACGCTCTGATTGAAAGTTTTCTTAAATCCTTTTTAACTGAAAAGCAATGGCAAAAACTATTAAATAAATGATGTCCATTCAATATAACCAGGTTACAACTGTAATAGCCACCATTTAATAAATGCTCACCCTTAGACAGGCCTTGTGCTGAGTACTTTATACACATAATTTCCTTTAACACTTCTAGAACCCCTAAAAAGAACATCTTTTCTCATTCCTTCACAGATGAGGAAATTGCAGGCTGAGATACCAGTAAATAGCTTAACCACTGGATTGTGATCTTTCTTGCCTTCTATAATCTTCTTTTTACAAATACTACAAACATGAATAATCCATTTGCTTTTGTTATCTCAAGTTTTGTTGTCTTGATTTCCCTGGTCTCTACCTTTTATTCTGTAATTAAGAACTATTTATCTATGACTTAAATTTAGATTAATTTCTCTTAACAAGAAGAATATCTGACACACATATATATGGCACTTAGTGACTGATCTGAGCACTTATATTAACTTATACACACACACATACACACGCACACACACACAATTAACTTATTATATCCCCATTTTATTGATAAAGAAACCGGGGCCCAAAATGATTAAGTAACTTGTTCAAAGCCATACAGAGTTAATGGCACAGAATAATTTTCAAGCCCAGACCACCTGGCTTTAGAATCTGGACACTTGATGATTAATGTTTTAGATCACTGATTCCCCAGGTTGCAGCCAGAATATGAAATCATTTTAGTGATACCAGAATGTAAGCTTTGTGAGGGGCTTTGTTTTCTTCACTGCTGCATCCTTATCACCAGAATGTCGTAGGTGCTTAATAAATGCTGTATATCTCATATGAATGAATGGGTGGATTGCTGAGTCTCAACTATGTACAGGTACTATGCTTATCAGGTAACCAGATACACAAAAATGAACGAAATGTGAATGAATGAATATGTACTTTGTTTCTTCCTCTGTGCATTTGCATGGAGCTCCCTATGAAATAAATCCCATTAAAATTGACATATGACTATCCCTACCACCAGATGAGCAAAATCTCCCAGTTTTGCCTCTCTTGCTTTGGCCTCAAGGTTAGCATCTACCCAGAACATTAATTCCATGTCTCCATCTCTCTCTCTCTCTCTCTTTCTCTCTCCCTCTCTCAGCCAAATAAGGAGGAATTGGTCACTGGGAAGAAACAGTGCTCCTTCTACTGCGTGGCTTCC